TAAACCTAACGCTAAACCTAACGCTAAACCTAACGCTAAACCTAACGCTAAACCTAACCCTAAACCTAACCCTAACCCTAAAAGAAACCCCTAAACCTAATCCTAACCTTAATTGAAATCGGCTTTCTGCCGCGGCGCCGTTTTAAAGCGCCCTTCTGTTGCCGCGCTGTTGTCACGGCGGTGATGACGCGCGGCTTTAGCGACGCGATTTTATCACCGCTATTTTGACGGGCGCGGTTTTGTCGTGCCACGCTCAATTCTATCTTGGTCAGATCCCATTGGGATTCAAGATTTAAAGTCGAAAAATGTAATTGAGAAATTGGAATTCAAAGAAGGGCTACAAAGATGATGGAAGATCTGGAAATCAATCCTGCTAAGGAATGGTGAAAAGATCTTGGTATACTCTGCTTTCAAAATAAACAATTGAGGAGATATGGACACAGCCTTCAGGTACTTGAAGGGTTTCATACAGAAGAAGATATAGAGGACCAGTACATAATCATTAGGCCCAAGAATCACTTGAAGGAGTGAATTATTGAATTCTATACGAAGTTATGTATCATCTCAAAGCATTAAAACCATAACATTCATCATGATGTACTATTCAAATACATCAAGGAATCAAACAGAGCTTGAAAACAAAATCAGTTGAGCAGCAACATCATCATTCCAAAATTAACACCGATCTGAGGATTCATCTGTACCTTGATAATGTCCAGACCAGGCTGAGGATATTCTAAGACTGGAAGTTGCTCATCTATGTTCATTAACCCAATTTCATCAGGATCTGCTCCTTGGCTCACAAGATACACCACTTCCTGCAATAAACTTGTGCCTGCAAAATATTGAGAAAAATAATGAGACAAAATACAAACTTTCAAAGAGAAGAGAAAGTTTTCTACTATCAGTCGATGATCAACACTTATCTCCAGATCTTGCATCTTACTGCAGTGTTTATTTACCCAACCTAGTCATCTCCAGATGTTATGGACTCTTTTTTTGTAAGCTGCCTAGAGTCACTGACAGTTTATAGATTCTCAAAATGAATAAAACCCATAATTTCATCCCGAGTAGTCTTTGGAATTATATATGGGAAAGTCCAGTAGGTAACAGAATAACAGAGTTGGAAGGGACCTTGGAAGTCTTCTAGTCCAACCCCTTGCTCAAACAGGAAACGTACCATTTCAGACAAGTAACAGATCAAGTAACAACTAACTAAATCATCGAATCATAGGGTTGGAAGAGAACTCAAGGTCTTCTAGTCCACCCCCCCTGCTCAAATCTATTTGAGCCCTTTATAATTCTCATAGTTTTGCTTCCTGTATCTCTTCCTTTTTTACTTCTGAGTCCTTTCTGCACCGTTTCTCTTCTTGTTATCCGATTTGTGGTTTAATTCTATTAGTTGGTCATATTGCCCTACCAGTTTTAGCTTAAACCCTTTCTGATGAGCAGATATTTGGCAAACATATTCTTGCTGGTCTTCATCCATGGTCTTCATTCATCTCTTGTTGGAAGCTCTTCCAGCAAGTAATGTAATCCATGATGTGGAAAGTCAAAGTTCTCATGACAGCACCATTCTTTGACTTAGCAATTCTAAAATCTTCTTGTTCCCTCATTGGATGTTGACCTACATTTGAAAGTATAGATGAGATTACCACCTGTGCTCCTAATGTTTTGATTATCCTGCCTTGTTGCTCATAGTCCATTGGAATTGTTTTCAGGCTCTTAGTTGTATCATTCATCACAGCCCAAAAGAGAAAGAAATAATAATCAGTGGGGTTCATCATTTTGGGGAGCTTCTTTGCACTTGGAAGATAATACCCTTCCCTTAAGAATTTGTCTAGTCTACAAATTGTTGACTCTGTTCCTTTAAGTAGTGGATCTCCACTCACCAAGACATCACTTTTTATTTGGGGAATTCTAATATACTTTACTACATATCACTGATAATTTGGCAATGTCTTTTTTTTTCAGGTAACTCTGTGTATTTCCTTCCTGAGGGAGGATATAAATAAAATCAATAAAATTGAGAACAGGAAGTCCTAGACTTATAACAGTTCACTTAGTGACAGTTCTAAGTTACAACAGCACTGAAAAAAGTGACTTATGACCATTTTATGCTAAAACCACTTAGAAAGGGCTGTAAAGCACTGTGAAGCGGTATGTAAGTCTAAGTGCTATTGCTAAGTGCTATTTTTCATACTTATGACCGTTGTAGCATCGAGTTGTCACGTGAATTACATTCGGATGCTTGCAGAGGTTGTATTCAGCCGGTTCGGACTGGTTCGCCCAAACCGGTAGCTCTGATGATCAGTTGGCCCCGCCCACCTGCTCCTGCCCTATCCTTTCCTTTATCTCCTGCTTTCTAGCTCATCTCAATCGTGTGGCACAGCTGATTCCCTCCCCCAGCTGTTTTACTTACCGTTGCTGACTTGGAAGGTAAGCAGCTGAGCTTCTAAATGCTCCATTTTCAGTGCTACGTACAAGTGCTTTAGGCAAAGTGTGCGCTCATTGAACAGGTTGTTAAACCGGCAGCATCCCACCACTCGATGCTTGACAACTGAATCATGTGATCCCTTTTGCAACCTTCTAACAAGCCAATGGGGAAACCAGATTCACTTGGTTGGTTTATGGTTTATTGGACTTATATGCCACCCTTCTCCCAAAGGACTCAGGGCGGCGTACAACATAAAAACACATAGCAGTTAGACTTATATACCGCTTCATAGGGCTTTCAGCCCTCTCTAAGCGGTTTACAGAGTCAGCATATTGCCCCCAACAATCCGGGTCCT